TCGCCTAGCAGCCTTCGATTCTGGTAACTCAGGCGCCAGTGATCTCTCTCTGATCGATTCAAGCAACACACCCAACCCCCACTGGACACGCTCCAACAGGTTGTCCCGCCACCGCCCAGGCGCTGGAGTCAGCAGTTGTTGCACGACCAGTCCGGAGGTGGGCGGCGAACGCCTGGCTCACCGTTCTCTTCCCTCCTTCCTCTTGAGTCACTCCTTTTAACCCAACAAGTCGTTCGATCCTACTCAGACGCTGGCGTGGACTGAGCACACCGAGCACGCTGGATGGGTTCCCCCACTGTTCTCCTCACTACTCTCCGCCGCCCCCTGTGCTCAATCGAGCTTTCCTGTGGACTGGGTACATCTAGCCCACCTCCTCCGTACTTCCCCCAATCTGAATCCATGGCGCACCACTCCCCCAGACTGTAGCGGCTGCGCTGCACGCCCGTACCGGTTCGTGGCCCTTGCCCCGCGTTGAGTAGCGAAGTGGGCTGGGTACACCTCGCTCACTCCCACCGAGTCCCCCTCTGTGTCTTCGTCCAGCCGCTGGCGCTGCTATATTGCCCCCTGGTGGCTGCACGGGTGCCACCGGAGAGCATCAGGCCTCGGCCGCAGGGCTTCGTGTGTATCAGCGGTACCAAGTTTTAGGCCCGGATCACCGAACCTGCGCCATATTAAAATTGAGTGAAAATGGCGGTGACTCTTCCAATAACTTCCCCAAAAAAATAGGCCTACCCGAAGATTGTCATCACGCAATTACCCTTCTTGCACAAAGATTTCAGCGGTCCGTGCTAGGCCGAAATTCGGGCCGCAGTTCCGCATTAGGAAAAACTCATGTCAAGCCGTCTTTCTACTGCACTAGTGTCGACCTTGTACCAGGGTACATCCCCATCAAACTGAGAAGCCATAGTTATTGCAGAGCAAGCTGAAGTTGTCCCAACCAGTCACGGTTCCAAGGTTCCACCCCGGTATCATGTCCAAACCAACCCAATAAGTGTGTCAATCCGCCCAGTTGCCATTTCCGTGGCTGTATCGAGCCCTAACAACTCGTTCCAAATCCTGCCCCCAGAGCCGTATCGGCGCCGTTTGAGTGAAACATGGTCCCGGAGCGGAGTTAAGTACTGTACCAAGAAACATCAGCGTCGAACTGTTAAGTCCCTTGCCTGTTCCGGTTTAACGTCGAATACCATGGAATGCAACAAAAAAAATTGTATCTGTCCCGAACCAGATTGTCGAGCCCGAAACGAACCAGGAGACGACGCAGTGGCGTGTACCACCCCGTTGCCGAACCAATACCGGATCTGAAACATGTCGCAGTGCATGTACCATCCCGATGCCGTACCAATACTGAACCTGAAACATGTCGCAGCCAAACTTGTGCTGCCCCGCGGTGATAGTTCTGAGCCCGTCCCGAACCATATATACCGAACCGGAACGATGATCACACTGACGCAAAAGCGTCGCGGGGCACAATTAAACAACATAGCGGTAACACCCCGTGTCCGTCCATCCCGCACTCATAGTACACAGGTTAGAGTAAGGTTGGAAATCAGGAAAATCAGGTAAGCCATGGGTCAAAATTCCAGTTATCGCAAAATAGTGGAAATCGTCAGAATTAGTGTAAATGAATAATCCGGGGGTAATTCCGATCACGGATAAATGGAGCAAAATTACGCCGACCTTCCGATAATCATGACTTCTTTCTTCCTCCTTATCCTTTTATTTCTTTCTCTTATTTCTTAATTCGGTTATCGAAAATAATAAAAATAAGGGCAATTCTGTCGAAAATAAATCCCGACAAAATCCAATTAAATAACGTAAATTCTTTGTTTCTTTTCTCTTTTATTGCTTTTGATCGTTTTCCGTGTTTTTAATTTTTATTATTCGAAACATCAATAATTGAGGTCGATCACTTTAAAAATTTAATACAAATTTTTTTAAATAAATCAATGAATATTTCAGTTTTTCTCCTCTTTTTTTTTGTTTTTAATTCTTTTACCCACTTTTAATTTTAACATTAAATTTAACTAAATGCGGGGCTACGTCCTCGTGTCCGTTGGACACCGTAAAAGGGCCTCGTCAAGGCTTATCCTCAATTAACCGTCCCGCAGCCAGTCGTTTCGGGAACGGACTAGAGCGGGTGGAAAAGAGGTAGACAATAAGGTAGCTGCCAGGGCGGCGAATTGGTAATCCGTCTCCTCAATTTTGAGGGCTAGTCTCGATGGTTGAGACATTTGAAATTTAGGGGTGACCTGACTACCCCTAATTTCTCCCAGCCGGTCGGACAAGACTCCCGGCCAATTTCCTCTCAGACAACTTTTCTACGGCTCAATCTCCCGGTATTAGGGCGAGCAGTTGGCTTTCGATCGCCCGACAAACAAGCCCGGACCTCCTCTCGACACCCCCGTCGAGCCCGCTCCGCCAAAATTTAGACGAAACGTATCAGGTCTAAGTGGACCACTCGCGCTCGACGCGAGTGCCTCCTCTTGTCCGTTTGGCGTCTGGGTTTCTCAGGAACTCTGGGGCTGAGAGGGTGCTTCTTCCCTCTCTTATGTCGCGGTCGTTTGGATTTTGGCGCCAGAATATCCCTTCGCTTCTTTCTCCGTTGGGGAGCTCGTGCGACAACTGTGCCACCCTTCCTAATGGGGACTGTTCTCTTAGGCCTTTGTAAAACAAAAAACCATTTCCTTTTCTTACCTAGCGTTAGACCCTTCACTTTCCTGTTCTCAACTCTTTTCCTCTTCCTTGAACTCTCACCTACCTCGAACTGTCTTGACGGTCCGTCGTCCGCCATCTTAGCTTTTCCCTTTCCTTTAGGGTCTGATAGTCTCGGAGCAGGAGCAGGAGTCTCCCTTGACCTTAACAACTTCAGTCTAGCTCCTGCCACAGGATCTTTCCACTTCGATCCATCTAGCTCAGAAATCATATATGCTCCCCATGATAAAGCACCGACTACACGATAAGGTCCCATCCATCTATTAGCCAGTTTTCCGGTCCACGTCCTTTCCAATGCGGCGTCATAGAGAAGTACCATGTCGCCAACTTTAATCTTTTCCTTTCTGATCCTGACATCTTTATCCCACCTTACTTTACTTTTCTCTCTTTCTACCGCCAGTCGATTAGCCGCAGTCATGAGATTGACTTCCAGTCCGTAAGCTATCTGCCTAGTCCGGGCTGCCAGTAACTCCTCTCGTGTCATGTTATCTGCCCAGCTAACTGTGGTCCAACTATCAACGTGAAATTCTATGGGCAGGGGACAGTGCCTGCTGAACCATAGAGTATAAGGGGGGTACCCTGTACTAGCTCGAACTGTGACATTGTCTGCCCATATCGCATACCTGAAATACTTCGGTCAGTCGCTATCCTTCCCTCTACACCACTTGGATAAGGACGCAATGAATGACTGGTGGCCTCGCTCTACAGGTGCATTGGACTGAGGGTGATAGGCAGTAGCAATAGATACCCTAGCTCCAACTTTCTTGAATACGCTCTGTACCTCGTTTGCTAGGAACTCTGCTCCTCTATCCATCACAATCTTACTAACACATCCGTATCTAGACAGATACTCCAAGACAAAGTTCTTAACTTCTCTTGCTGCTTTCGTCCTGATAGGCCTACTATCCACGAAGCCAGTGAAATCATCCCTGATGTTGACTACATAGTTCATATTCCCTACACCCTTCGGCATTTTCACCAGATCAATATGCACTTTCTCCCTTGGTCTAGTGGGATAAGAAGGGTGACGTGGTTCCTTATACCTAATAAGGGACCTCTTCTGGCAGTCCTCGCAAGTTTCACAGTACTTTTCAACGTCCTTGTACTGTCCTTCCCACCAATATAGTCTGCGAACTTTCTCATATGTACCTTTTACTTCTCTATGTCCTCCTACCACACCATCATGTAACTCAGCCACTATCGACCGTCTCTCCTCGGGATCACAGATCACCCGAAGAGGCATCCCTGCTCCCACAGGTCGAGGAAACAAATATCCAGCTCTAAGGCAGTATTGTGCCGCCTGTCTCCAGATGTCCGAATCAGTGTTTTCCTCTCCTGACAGATGCAGTCCTATAGTACGGTACTTACCTTCATAAAGATTGACTAGGAAGTGATCCGTTCGTCTGGGCTCGGCCAAAGTCAGGGCAGCAACTGATATTGGTCGCTCCGCCTCGATGGGAATTCGTGAAAGTCCATCGGCTACATCGTTCTTCGCCCCAGAAATCCTCTCTACAGTATAGTCATAAAGCCGAATCCTGATCAACCATCGTGCGATCGTAGGATCCGTCAAACTGAAATCCTTTTGTACGACCGAAGCTACAGCTGTAGGGTTTACCCTAAGAATGAATCATCTTCCGTATATGTAGTGCCTAAAGGTATCTAAGCACCGTAGAACAACCAACACTTCCTTCTTAAACTGACTGTAGTTTCGTTCCGCAGTGTTGAGTGTCCGACTCTCGAACCTTAACGGCCTCTCTTTGTCATCGGCGTCCTTTTGAGAGAGCAATCCCCCAACCGAACATGGTCCAGCATCCGTAGATACTATGAACGATCGAGCCGTCTCGTCCTCAAAGAATGGCATACCCAGAATTTTGCCGTTTTCTTTAAATTCTTCTTTGAGGGATTGCACTGCTAGCTCTTGAGGAGAGGAGAATCCCAGTAGAACTTCTCAGTCTTCCTAAGAAGTGTGCGCAGAGGTTCCGCCTTTTCCGCATATCCTCGTATAAAAATCCGCTTATAACCAACAACCCCTAAAAACTGACGAACTTCAGTTGCACTATACAAAGGAGTCGGTCAGTTCAACAATTTTTCTAACTTCCCAGGGTCGGGTCGTCGGCCTTTCACGTCGCATATAAAACCTAAAATCGTGATCGTCAATACGACCCATCGGCTCTTAGTCCCGCTAACCGTCAGGTTAGCTTCATCCAACTGTTCCAGAACAGCGTAAATGTTCATCAGGTGTTGCTCCACGAACCTCCTGACGCCAGGAGCGACTTCCGTTTCATCTTTCAGCACCGGCCCTTTTATTGGGAAGTTGTCCAGGAAAACTTATACTTTGTCAGAGATGAAGCCTTTCAGAACCGCTACTATGGCTCTCTGAAAGACCGCTACCCCATTGGTCCATCCCATCGGAACGACCAGCATCTGCACTAATCCGAGCGGCGTGTGCATGAATGTGAGATGCCTATCTCTCGGATTTAGTGGTATCTCGTCATATCCTGAAAATAAATCGCAGACAGAATAAATGGATCTGCCTGCCGCCCCTTCTGCCAACAAATCAGCGTGCGGTACTGAGCCTACATCCTGAATCGTCACAACGTTGACCTTCTGAAGGTCTTGAATCCATCGAATCTTTCCGTTAGGCTTCCTTAAGAAGAACCATCTGTTTGCGTATGCGCTGTCACAAGGCTCAGCTACGCGTGACGCCATCTTCTCTTTGAGAAAGGATATCACCTCTTCCTTCTCTTTCTGAGCAAACTTCCACCCTGCGTCATTCCATGGCGTATGCGGAATCGTGTAGATCCTTGCAGGCTTAGCATATCTAGGATCAATCCTTCCTCTCTCCGCATCACTGAATGCTATAGCTTTGTCGCAAGACTTAACGACTTCCAACACTCGCTCGTTCTCCGGCTCAGTTAGATTACCATCGCCTATGTCCATCTCCGCTATCCTCTTTTCTGTCAGCCGTTGCGGCTCCTTCCTCTTCTTTTCTTTAATATCTCTAGCGATCTCTTCTTCAGATACTCCATCCAACGTGGATCGCTCTCGTGCTACAGCCGCTGGCTTAACCTTCTGAACTACTGTCTTGTGTCTCTTTGGTCGCCCCTCGTAGGGGTTGTGCCCTTAGAAAAGACACATATATCATCCCTTCGAATTCCTCATCTTCTGCCTTAGGATAGGCGTTCCTTCCTACACGTACCCGAGTCCCTAAATCCTCGACTTCGACTATCTGACCTTCTTCCTCTGTAAGTAGAGGTCCATACTTCTTTTCGCGAAAGCTTAGGGATCGACTCGAAAGGGGAACAGGTACACGGCCCCCTGCAGCGAGAACCGCTCTGTTCCTCGGATCACGAGGCTCTACCGTCTCCATCATAATCCACCCACCGTCTGGACGCTTTATGGAAATCATTTGGCTTTCATCCGGCCGTTCTATAGTAACGGCATGGACGTGACTTAGCCATGTCCGCCCCAATAATAACTCTGCGCTGCAATCGCGAACTGCGAAAACAGGCATCATCACTCTTAATACTTCGACCTCGATTGCTGCCTTGTGACAAACTCCTGCGACCTTTTGCTTCCTCCCATCAGCGGTTTCTATCTCAAATTGGTACGACCTATCCAAGTCTAATCCCAATCGGACCGATAGGCCCTCGTCTATAATGACAGCCTCACTGCCGTTATCGATTACGCCATGAAGGACCACCTCGTCGTTGAGGGTAGTCTGTACTGTCCCACTGCCTAGAATGTAAAACTTGTCAGGAGGCACTCCCTCCATCCCGTCTAAGAATACTGTGGCAGCACGATCCGCCTTAGCGACCAAACTTGATACTGCAACAGTGGGCATCTCCTCCTGTTTGGTCGCCATTTGGACCTCGTCGTTCAGAGGAATACGCGTCTTACCCGTAATCATTTGCAATTCATCTCTTGCTGGCCTCGAGGCCGCCAAATATTCTAGGATCGTGCACTGCATAGGCTGCCTGAGAGCTCGTCTAAGAGGTTCGACAATGTCTATGTCATCCAGAGTACTCTTCATTGTGAACTTTCTCGCCCCACGTTTGTGCGGGGAAAGTATAACTTCTTCTCCTTCAATCCTCTGTCCATCCTTCTCTGCCATTACGTAATCAGTGTCAGCCTTCTTAGAGGAGGAAGCCCTGACGGACTTAGTCGCCGCCACCCGTATGGGTGTCATAGGACTCTCCTCATCAGAAGACAGACGCAGTCTCACGCTTTGGGTTCTTGCAACCCCTTTACCCTTGTTCGGTACTACTCGTCTAGCTTCCACGTTCTCCTTCATCGAAGGAAACATAGATACATCACCAAGGTTATCTGCCCACTGGACGTACTTGCGATCATCAAGTACGACAAGCCCCTCATCTATTGCCCGTTTGAGGTCAGGGCAGTCTCTCTTGAGATGGTCGTCTCCCCTACAGTAGATACAAGAGTTTCTAGGGGTAGGGGGTCGTTCCTCCGCGGGCTTAATAGCCGGTCTCCTCACATCCTGGTTGGATGGCCCAGGAGATCTAGGATAGTTTGGGGACTTGGGATACCCTGGCAACGCAGGATATCCTCCTCTCTCATACTGCCCCCGTGACTCCTCTCTACGATCGCCACCTCTCTTTGTCCACTCGTAACCGCTTCGATATCCATCTCGGCGGTCCCTATCCAATTCCCACCGACCGCGGGAGTCCTCTCTATCCCTCGAGTTAGAGTTGCCCGGGCTTCTGTACCCTTCGGCATTCCTACCATATCTGGGACTGCGCGGGTACTGGTCGGCTCTGTTCCCTCAATCGTAAGAATCTACCCCTCTATACCCATCACGCCAACGGTCTCTATCTATATTATCATGCCTGCGCCTCCGCTCTTCATCCTCTCTACGTCTTCGATCGTCTTCTTCTCTGCGCCTTCGATCCTCCTCGTCCCTACGTCCACGATCCTCCTCGTTTCTACGTCTACGATCCTCCTCGTCTCTTCGTCTCCGTTCATCTTCATCTCTTTCCCTCGCGTGGTAATCAACTAATGTGCGAGGGTTACGGTCTTCGACGCTCCTCCACGGGTTGGTATTCCGACGATCCCATCGCAGAGAGTAGGGAGATCCAGGCTTGTCCCGGTACGTGGTTTCGACCTTTGTTTCGAAATTTGCTATTTGCCTGGCCATTTCCTTCATCTTCTCTTGCATCTCCTCTATTACTGCGTCGTTATCCCCTAACCGATGGGATTTGTCCCAGTCCATCAAATATCGTCGTTCTGCCCAAGGTTTGTCGTTGAAATCGGGGCATCTATCAGTCCCATACTCCTTATAAAAGGAATAATCCTCTCGCTGCATACCTCTCCAGAGCAAATCCTTATAGTCATCAGCTTCCGCTTTCATGGCGAGCTTAAATAACGCGGTGAATTCCAACTTATCGTGAGGCATCTCCCTCAGTACCGCCTTTCGCTTTCCCCTTGGCAGTTTGCTGAGAAAGATTGTGCATCTCTCTACGTCCGATAACTTTCCTCTTGTCATGAGGGCATCGGATACCTTCTGAAAACGCATACCAAACGCTTGGACACTCTCGCCCTCACTCGGGGTCAACGCCCTCAAATCCTGGATCGAATACTTGACATCTTCTAACTTGAAAAACTCATAAAGGTTGATCTTATACGTAGCCCACCTCCTGTCCCTAGGTCGGGCTTCCTTTATAACCCGGCTCAGACTTGGGTCGACGTTAAACAAGAAGTTATCTATAATCTCGCCCTCAGTCCACTGACTTCGATAGGCATGCAACTCCCACTTCTCAAGGTATTTTGTGATACCACATCCCAAGAAAACGGGAGGCCTGGAATCTAACTCCGAGGGTTGATGCGAGATGATGACTCTGTCCCTCGCCTCATATGGCAGAGGATGCGATTCCCCTGTCTCGGGATCAAAAACCCATCTGGCCATGGCAACTCTTTCTCTATCTCTCCAAAGCTGCTCTCTAATAAATTGATCCCTCCAGTCTTCCGCTCCTAGATAAGCTCTATCTTCTCTACGCTCGTACATAGATGGGCGTTGAATAAACGATTCGCACCGGAAACTCGGAGGCTCGGTCTGTATTTCCGGTCGCTCTACCGGCGCAGCCCTATTGGGCTCAGTAACGGCAAGAGGTGCCATTACCTCGGGTTCGCCGTCGTCTGGCTGCTCTACACACCTCAGAGGGGTGTTCTGTCGAAGACGCTCCTTGAGGTCTCGCAAAGCTCGGTCCGGTGATGCTCGATACACCACCTGTTCCTCATCCGGATGCGGTCCCATCGCATCAGATTCCATACTCTTTCCCCTCTTTCGATTTAGGGGTTCAACACCAACACCCCGGACCTATGAAGGAATCCGCAACCCGAACCTATGAAAGTATCCGCAGCCCGGACCTATGAAAGAATCCGCAGCCCGAACCTATGAAAGTATCCGCAGCCCGAACCTATAAAAGTATCCGCAGCCTGGTCCTATGAAAGAATCCGCAGCCCGGACCTATAAAAGAATCCCCAGCCCGGACCTATGAAAGCATCCGCAACCCGGACCTATGAAAGTAATGCAGCCCGGACCTCTGAAAGAATCCGCAGCCCGGATCTATGAAAGCATCCGCAGCCCGGACCTATGAAAGTAACGGTCACTCGCCTGTGACCACTCTCAGGATTGCAACAAGTCTCCCAGCCTCGTCTCGTATCTCGTGCTCACCCTCGATACCTGAAATCCCTGAGTCAAAATAAAGTTCTCCGTGCTGCTCTTCTATGCAACGAATACGTCTCCTAATCTCTATAACTCCGGACTCTGATATCCTTACTCTCCTACAAATCCCTGTCGCGATCCTCCTCAACTCTTCCGGTGCACAAGATCTCAGGTACTCCCGTATATCAACAGACGCTCTTCGCGCTAGATCGCTTAACCCATGATACACAACGTGAGCTCCTGCCCGCGGGTAATCACCCCCTACGGCCATCAAACTTAAAGTATCGAAGCGCTAAGCCAACCACTGCCTCATTGCTTCCCCCTCGAACCACCTGACGCGGTCCAGGAGGTCTGGGCAACCCCTGAAAAAGCGTAATCCATGTGTCCCAGATTACCTCCTTACCTAGCGCCAGGAGCCTATCCCGCTCATTCTCAACAACTTCTTCCGCGCGTTCCCAGCATCGACCGTAAACCAAATCGCGTTCTCGCTCAACTGGGAGGTAAATCCTAACATCATACACCTCCACGACAAAGAACCGAACGGTGATAATGCAAAGACGTATCTGCTCCCATCCGCTGTCCACTAACTTGTATGTCACTACTTCGTACGGAATCACTTCTTTTCGCCCCAAAGAACTCAACTGGTCGCAGACTTTCGCTAACTCCGTGTCCGAATGTCTGTTGCCCGCAAGAAACCTCTCTCTCCTAGCCTCTAGTTCTCGCTCAGGGATGGTCGTATCTTTACTCATCCGCGCATCCTATTGATCCTTAATGGTCTTTTTGAACTTGCCGTCAGTCTTGACTGTCTGAGAGAATCCAACTACAGCCTCCCATTTGTTTCGCTCTAGCCCTCGATATGGAACAGGCAGCCTGGGTAGACCGTAAAAAATAGTGATGTCATCACAGACCTCCACAATCTTTTCCAAACTTTCTAACCTCTTTTCCTCTTCTCTCAATGCCCACGCAACCCTTCTCTAAGTCCTTCCGTATATGCTAAATTATTTTCTCTCTTTAGGCAGATATATACCAACGTGATATACCTCTAAGTTTTGAAACCAGACAGTCATAATATAGTATTGATCGCGTTTAATCCCACTGTTCTGGACTTGGTACTTAGTTGCCTCGTACGGAAACACTTCTCGCCTTCCAATCGCGCTCAATTCCTTAAGCACTTTCTCGTGCTCGGATCCACTAGGACCACTCCAACCTCGAATTTCCACCTTCTCCTTGTTAGTTCTGCCTCTGATAGTGACATCTCTTACAATCTCCATGAAGCGTCTAACATTCCGCCTCTATTAGGGCTAAGGCCAACAAGATCCTGTCCGTCGATTCCTCCAAAAACTGATAGAACGTCTCAAAATCGTCTATATCCCCACAGTCTTCAATCGCGGCTAAGGTCCAGAGAAACTCACTCTGGTACTGGTCGTGTGCTTTGTAAATCCTTAAAACAGAAATCTCTATTATGACCGTGGCAAAGTCTCCAGACACTTCGGCTTCACTCTTCAAGAGTCTCTCTGCTATCTTAGGGGAATCGCGTCACTCTCTACTCAGAGTCACTCCATCGTAGGGGGACAAGTGCAGCGAACAGTAGATCAGTTGCGCACTTCCGTCTCCTACCCAGAGCCCAGTCACTCGCGCCTTCTGAACTGCTTCTCTAGTGCTCTCTGCTTCTTCAATCACGGTAAGCCTCTCTAGCTGCTCTAACTGTATTCTAACACGAGCTGTTGGTCCTTCCAACTTCCCTATAACTCGCGTAGAACACCTTTCGCTACTCATCCTCCCTTCTCATTCTTCATCGCCCTCAGCAACGTCCTTCTTCTCTCCTGACGTTGCAGTCTCTATCAGCTCCTCTTTCCTTCCCGTCGACTCCAGGGACCCTTCGTCCCCCAAACTTCTCCTCTTAACACTCTCTAGAAATTCTAACCTCCATCTCCTAAAGAAGTCTCTGTCCTTTATAAGAAGTCTTCTCAAGGCCTTCATTGCACCCTCTGTTTTACGCAGCTCACTCTTTTCCTTGTTAGGCCCGCAGTCCTAAATCTTGATACTGACCTCTTTGACGCGCTCAGCGATTCGTTTAACAATACGCTCTTTTATTCTCTTCTCTCTTCCTTCTAAATCTTTCATCGTCCACGATCCATCTTTCTTATTCTCATGATCTTTCTATCACATATTACTTCTATCTTCCGAGGGTGTCTCGTCCTGAATTATCTCCAAGTGTACTCTTCCTTTAACGCATACAATCACCTCATATACTACCCAACTCTGCGTCGTCAATTCCCTCAAGGCACCTGGTCTCTGCTCTTGTATGACGTCTTCTGCAAGTTCTTTGAACTCGTTGTCTGACAGTTCTGTTTCTATGCTCACCTTTAAGAGAATCTATAGGGTCTCGCTGTCACACGCTAGCTGCCTAGACACGACCCGAGCGTAGGGAAGGCGTCGCCGAGGAGAGAGACTCCTTCTCTCAATTCCTCGAGTAGCTACTCGGGGGTTCCTCTCACTCACGCTCCTCCAGGACTCGGACCCCTTGTGGTCCCACCAAAGTGAATACAAGGCTCGCGGTCTATATCGATACAGTGGCTGCTCATACTCCGTCATGATAGGGTAATCATACTCTACTCCTGGCTTCCGCTACAGTCTCATCGAAGAACAATTCCGCTCGCAAGTACCCTGCTGACCACACCATCACTTCGTACGTTATCTTGGTCTGAAACGTGACGCATTCGAGAACCCCCGGTCTATATTCTCGGATAAATTCCCTGGCTTGCAGAAAACTCTCCTGCTCTGTTAGGATGTCGTCTATGTGAGCTCTAAGTAGGACTGTAATCGTGAACCCCTCGTTCACTAATTGCCTTGTCACATTTACCCTCGTAATCGTGCGACCTGACATCTCCTCCACTAGCTATACGCAAACAAGTATCTCAGATCCTCCAACCCGATGAACTTATCTTCTGCGCGTCTTCGACAATAGTGAATCAAATCTGCAGGTCTTAGACAGTCTAGCCAGGAAGTAACTTCTAATAAACCCCTCCGCACCTCCTTACCAGGAGGTCCCCACCTTACGCATACCGAGTAGTATGCTTCTAGGAATCGACGCTCTAGTCCCCGTAAGAACGCGTGCTAAGTGTGGTCGACTGTTTTCGTCAACCAGTCCACGCTTCCGTAAGTTTGTTCTATAACAAACTCAGGTAACACCATCCGCCAGCTCCCTAGCGGATGGTAAATCTGTGGAGGAGAACCGACCACAATTCGTGTGGTAAAAGGCCTACTTCCAGCAGTGCTATTCAGTTGTCTTCTCACTATCGCCTCTGCTAAGATCTCATACCTCCACCAGACTCTGCTAACGCCTACAAGTGTCAGTCCTATCTCTAAATCTCTCTCCTTATCAAACACAAGATATCCTATACCCTTCACCTGTCGGGGAGACCCCTGGTCCTCCGTAATCACTGTCCACAAGAAAATCCCTCTCGCCAGCCAAGTACCGAAATGTCGGATCGGCACCCAATTTCCTTCCTCTAAGCGCACCGGAAGCGGGACATCGTACCCCAGCGCCGCCTCTCTTGGCCCTATGAAATCTATCTCTCTACGAGCCTCTGACCCTCGTGTCAACACATATGTTACCCATATGTCCCAATCGCTCCTCATCACCGCATGTCGCTCCACCCTTGCCACTCTAGTTCTCTCCGACACACTCGTTCTTACGGCGCCACAACCTCCTCAGACAACTCTACCGGTTAGGCTCAAAATAGTCGAGTAGGTGCTGTGCACTCTCCCGTCAGCTCCATGGAAGTAGATGGTGAACTCGACGTATCTGTGGCCTCTCCGTATCTCCAGGGCATGCTCCTTCATGAGTCTGATCTGTCGCTCAACATTGTCCAACGCCTCATCTTCCCAGCCGCCTGTTCTATCTCGTCGCAAGGAGAGTGTTACTCTCAGTATGTCTCTGTCCGCCATCTCTACCGTCGCGTCACATAACTCGTCCCGTCCTAGGCTATCTCCCGTGCCCACTAACTAGCTCTCCACTGATCTCTTATCCCAGTTGCACCCGGATATGCCTAGTCTCTATCCATCTCTCACATTTGGCATATCCTCGTCCTCATGGGATATCCTCATGTCCCTTGGCCTGAAGAAAATGTCTCCAGTCGTCCTCCTGCGGAGCTACTTCTCCTATCTGCTCCTGGCGATCCTCTATCACCAGGTCTCCCCAGCCCTGGTCCCACTCTCCCCAAGGCTCTATCTCTCCTAGAGTCTCCCACTCTCTATCCTCAGCGTACCACCCAAGATCCTCTCCCTCTGGGTGTACCTGCTGATAGTGCGCCTCTATCTCCCAGGGCGAAATAAGAGGAGCAGGCCTGTCCTCACGCGTCTCACTCAGTAACGCACGTAGGCCCTCCAAGTAATTGACTGGTCTCTGAGCCTCCCTCTCCAGCACTAGCCAGAACTCCAAAGGCTGATACGGATAGGAGGAGTCCTGCTCTCCTGAAGGTGCTAAGGCCCGTACAAACTCCACAAGCTGGATACCTCTCTCGCCTGTGAACGGTCCTCCAACCAACTGGGCGTATGAGATCCAATCTCGATCTGCCAACCGCCTCCTCATCCCGTCTAACTCGCGGCTAGCTGAATAGGTGTCGACAATGTGAGCCTTCC